TGCTACACTCTGGTAGAGAAGTTATCATTCTATTCAAAGAAAAAAAAATAAAATAAAAGATGAGAACATAAAAGGAATGCAAAGCACTATGAAAGATCTAATGAGAAGAGAGCTAACTTCCAGTCGGAGAGAATCCAGAAAAGGTCCACACAAGTGTCACCTCTTCATTTCAATTCAGTTCTGCAGCCAGTTAAATAAGTGTTTATTATGTACAAGGGGGAGCTAGGTAGCTCAAAGGATAGGAACTGGGCTTAGAATCAGGAAGACCTGAGTTCAAATTTGGCTTCAGACACTTATTAGCTGTAGGATCACTTAATCTCTGCTTGCTTCAGTTTACTCACCTGTAAAATGAGAATAATAATAGCACCTACTACCCAGGATCAAATAAGAAAATAGCTATTAAATGCTTAGCATAGTGCCTAGTGCATAGGCACTTAATAAATGCTTGTTCCCTTCCCTGCAAAGCATCTCGAGAGGGATATAAAGACAAAAAGCAATCATCTGGGTCCTCAAGGGGCTTACATTCTTCTGAGGGGATACCGTATTAAGTAGATTTTGATGGAGGAAAAGGAAGGACCAAGAAAAGAGCTTTTGAGGAAGGAGAGAGCACTGCTAGCTGGGAGCTTCAGGGAAAGCCTCAGGGAGACCATGGTACCTCAGCTGAGGTTTATCAAAAGAGGGATGACCTATTTGAATGCATGGGCGGTTTGGGGAAGGGCAAGTAATTCAGTTTGGCTGAAACAGGACCGTATAAAGGAGATGTCTGTGAAGTGAGTGTGGAAAGACAGCCAGACTGTTGAGGGCGAGCTTTAAACGCCAGGCTGAGAAGTAGACAATAGGGAACCACTAGTGGTTCTTGAGCAGGGTTTGAACATGGCGAGACCTGTATTTTAGGAAAATTATTTTGGCAGCTGTGTGGAGGCTGGGCTGGACACAGGAGAGATAGGAACTTTATTAGGAGTCAATTCTGATAGCCCAGACGATGAGGTAATGAAAACCTAAACCAGCATGGTGGACATGTGAGTGGGGAGAACGGGAAAGAAGCAAGCAATATTATAATGGTGGAATCAGTGGAATTTTTGGAACTGATTGGATATAGGTGGTAAGGAAGAAGGATAATTCCAAAATGACTCTGAAGTTATGAACTCAGGTGACCAGGAAAATGGTAGACATGGGCATAGTAGGCACTTAATAAAAGCTTGCTGCTATAGAACTAATGGGTACCAGTGTTCCCCTCAACACGAATTAGGCCTATGCTTCCTCCATGCCCCAGCATTTGTTAGGCCCTTACTTTCCCCCTCCCTCCTTGCAGCAGGAAAATGTATAGAGAGGCAAGAGGGTCCCAGACAGAGATACCCTGAATTAGGAAGAGCCCTTGTAGTATGTAACCTTTTTGCTACACACGTAATAATTGTCTTTTGAGTTTTGTTTTACCGAATTAATCAGATAATTGTACTTCATTTTGTAAAGAATTATGACCATTTCTCTTCAACCTCCCTTGGAAAAATTCTCAAATCTTTCTCTCATCATCTTGGTAAAAGGTTCTGATGCCAAATCACTAACGTAAAATTGAGTCAATGAAGGCTAACAAAGAAAAGCAGAGAGGAGTGCATTTCTTTCCCCCCATACATAGCGCCACTTACCTAACCAACCTCCAGGCCCTCCCCTGGCTTCCTGTTCTCCTTTGCTGTTTCTTCAAGGCCCTTCCTAGCACAAGTCTGCTCCGTGTGGTTTTCAATAAAAATTAACAGACAAACTACTGGTTAATAGTTTGCACATGTAGTTCGTGTACTAGCAGTCAATCATGTCCTGTGGTAATGCAAAGTGGATAGGGGTTTCTTCAAGTCAGACCTCAAGCAGTTAAATTGGCAGTCAAGAATCCACAAGCCTGCTCTTCTGATTAGGTGCTTTTCCAGGGAATTCTTTGGTGAACAGACTCTTAAATATCGCTTCTTAAGTATGTACCCAAATAAAATCTGCTGCCCTACCTGGGAATCAGAATTGGAGATTTAAGCACAAAAGATAGAAATGGAACTTCCTGGAAGGACATGAGCGGCTTGGTAGAATGTAAGCTCTTTGAGGGCAAGGAACTGTTTTCCAGCCTTTGTATCACCTTGCACCTGTTATAGGGGTTTGCCCTTGATTGGCGCATTGGATCATTTCCGATAGTTTTGGGGCCTTGCAACTTAGGGGTCATAGTGACCTGCAATCATAGTAGTAACTCACATTTATTCACACACATATGTGTGTGTGTGTATATATATATATATATTTATATTTATACACACACACACACACACACATATATATATATATATATATATATATATATATATATATATATATATATATATATATATCTTTAACATTTTAAAGAGTGCTTTCCCCACAACATATTTCCCCTTATAACATATGTAACCCATGTCCCAGTCCCTTTTCCCCTCAAGGACTCTCCACTCATACAGACAGAGTCCCATTTTAAGAATTTGACTCCAAAAGTTAAATCTCACTTCTTTTAGCTCAATGGCCCAATATGGATCAACCTAAGAACACTGCCAAAATAAAATTTGCATCCTTCACATCTAAGAAGTTCCAAATGTAGGTAGTAGCATCCCCAAATCTTGCACAGGCTTTCAATTATTAGGTATGGGACAGCTTTTATTTCATTCCTATAGAATGTGTAAAAATACTAAGGACATAGGAACCCATGAACAAATTTAGCAGAATAGAGTATTCAAATAACCCATCATCTGCTATGAAAAGAGATTTGAACTTGGGGCAAGGTCCATTATTCCAGCGAGTCTCTCTCCCCCATGGAACCCTACACAGCATCCCCAAACTCAAACTATCTCTCCAAAAGTAAGCGCATCTTGCTGAGCACACAAACATCTTCTCATAGTAGGGTTGTGCAGGGTTGGCAAGACCCAGATCTATTGGGCCCGCTTGGCTTGGCCCAAGTTCTCTAGTTTGAGGGTGATCCTATTGGCTGAGCTTGCCTCCCTTGGGACAGTTTATGCTCAGCTTTTGACCTCAGGGACTCTTAGGTTGTCTTGAACTTAGCATCGACCATTAGGTAACTGCCAGGCTGGAGGTGTCCATTCTCAGAATTGAGGAGCAAGAATTCACTTCTTAGGCCTTGAGTAAGCACGTGATCCCCACTGCCATGTGCTTCTGCTATAAACTGCCATTTCAGAGAAATCTCCTCCCTTCTACCTTGCTACATTCCAGTCTGGAAGTCCAAGGGTGAGAAAGCATGGGGAAAAAAAAGGTGTAAAAAGGGTACTGCAGTTCAGAGCTCATGTCTACCAACTGTAGGGATAATTGTTTCTCTTACAAGAGCTGATCCCTTTGGTCCTCAATCAACCAGTCATCAGAGGGCAGCCCTAGCCACTAATTATAATTCATTGAGTCCTCTAAGTAAGGGACTGGTGTGTAAGTCTCTTAGCAAGGGTCTAGAGTACATGTCTAAGTTTATGGGATGCACCCCTTCCTGACAAAGGTTCATGCCCTGTAATTTCATCATGTTGTTTGCAAGGATTCATCATACTGATCAGTCTCTCCAGATCAACCAATACAGTCATTATTTCATTCTCACTGAAAAACTTTGGAATTGAATGTGTAACATGGGAAACACTGGCAAAGGACCACCCAGCAAGGCATACCCACATCAAAGAAGGAGTTGTGTTCTATGAGCAAAGTAGAATTGAGCTTAAAAGAAATGCAAGATGCACAAATTTAGAGAATCCACCCCAAATGTTCACATGGACTATTTGTGCCTGATTTGTGGTAGACCCTTCTGAGCTCATATGGGTTTGATAGCCACAGTCGGACACATTTTAACTTGGCTCCAACATAGTGATGTCATTTTGGTCCTCTTTGAGAATGAAAGACAACCACCAACCAATGTTGCTTCATTTATTATTTGTTCATAAGTCTTACTGAACCTTCTGAATTCTTTATGTTTGTTCTTTCTTAAGACAGTATGTTCCACAACTTGTTTAAGCATTCCCCAAATGAAGAGCATCTACTATGTTTCTAATTCTTTGCTATCAAAAAAGTGTTGCTATGAATATTTTGAAATACATAAAATAGTTCTTTTAGTCTTTGACCTCTTTGTAGTACAGGCCTAGAAGTAGAATCTGAGCATCACAGGATATGGGTATTTTAGTCACTTTTTTTCTTGAGGTTGGTCATTTATGTTTTATTGTTTTTAAATTATATTTTGTTAAACATTTCAATTTACATTTAGTTTCAAATTTTTAATACTTTGTTTTTTCCAATTATATGTAAAAACAATTTTAATATCCTTTTAAAAAATTTTTGAGTTCCAAATTCTCTCTCTCCCTTCCTACCTTTTCCCCTCCTTGAGAAGGCAAGCAATTTGATATAGATTTAACATGTGCAGTCACGTAAAACATATTTACATATTAGCCATGTTACACAAGAAAACACAGAACAAAAACTAAAACCAAGAAAAATAAAGTAAAAATAACTATGCTTCAATCTGCATTCAGACTTCATCAAATCTCTGGCAGTTATCCACATTTTCATCATAAGTCCTTCAGAATTGTCTTGGGTCATTATATTGCTGAGAATAACTAAGTCATTCACAGTTGATTATTCTACAATATTACTGTTACTGTATACAATGTTCTCCTGGTTCTGTTCATTTCACTTTGCTTCAGTTCATGTAAGTCTTTCCAGGTTTTTCTGAAATCCACCTGCTCATTGTTTCTTAAAACACAATAGTATTCCATCACAATCATACATCACAGCTTGTTCAGCCATTCCCCAATTGATGGGCATCCCCTTAATTTTCAATTCTTGGACACCACAAAAAAAACTTCTATAAATATTTTTGTACATATAGGTCCTTCCCCCCTTTTAAAAAAATCTCTTTGCAATACAGACCTAGTAGGGATATTGCTCAGTCAAAGGTTGGGCATAGTTCCAAATGGCTCTTCAGTTCACAACTCCACCAACTGTTCATTAGTGTCCCAATTTTTCCACACACCCTCCAACATTTGTCATTTTTTCTTTGTCATATTAGTCAACCCTGATAGGTGTGGAGAGAATAAAAATCCCTAAAGAATTAAAAGTAAATGTTGTAAAATTACAAAGAACAAGTATAGCCTCAAAGAAGAGATAGGTAAAGACACTCCCACTCTACTCCTTTGCAGAAGTAGGAATTTGAAAGAGTGGAGTTTTGCATATACTTTCATACTTTTTAAAACGTACTGATTAATTTTGCTGATTTTTTTTCTCTTCATCCTCTTTCATTTTCTTTTTCTTAACAACACTACTTGATTTGGGTGTCTCTGGGAGAACGGAGGGAGAGTGATAATGAGAGAAAATTTGAGATGTAAAAACAAAAGATATCAATGAAAAAACTTTTTTAAAAGTGTGAACACACTATTTTTTCATGAATGCTTTTTTTAAAATGCCAAATGTCTGAATGAATGAAAAAGCACTTGTGAAGTGCTTAGTAAATACTAGACACTGTGCAAAAGACATTCCCTATCCTCCAGAATTCACATTCTGGTAGGGGGAGAAAATACAGCTAGGGGAAGTGCTGGCCAGGGAAGGGTTAGTTCTCAGGTATGGTGAATGGAATTCTAGGCAATAGAGTAATGCCAACTTCCCAGAAGCAATGATAGCTTTGATTTGTTTACTGTAAAGACTTAGCAGTTGGTTTTTTCATAAAAATACATCTATTTAACTGTGGGAAACAATAATCATCAAGATAGTTATTCTCTGCAGGTCTACCCTTGAGTCATTATTCACAAAGTTGTTGTCGATTTCAAGTTCATCATTATTGATTTTTAAACTAAACCAATAATAGAAACCAAAGCAACTACTCTCTTTCCCACCAACTGTTACATAAAGTACAGAGAACAGACAGATCATGAAGGTGGAATGGTGAAATGTTCTTTTCTCCCATACTCTTACCAAATTTCAAACTCCCCATCACCCCACCAATGAGCATAGAAGTGATGGGGTCATATTTTAAAAGCATGACAATTCACAAATATTTATTTGAACCCAGTGTGGCCAGCTTACTTGAATAGATATTGGAGTTGTTATAATAGGAGCCATTTAATAGGAAGAGCAGAATGGCTGGAAATGCATTTGGGAAATTGCATAGTATTCTGACCAATCCCTAGCACAAAACCATATCTTCTACTTTTAATATCCTTTCATTGCTACCATTTGCTTGTGAATAGAGGAAAGACTATGATATCCAAAGAAACAAAATTGTAGGTACCTCAAAAGACAATGGAGAGACACATGGTGGGCATTCATCAGCTGTAGTATATTATCCTCAATATTTGTGTACAAGAATGGGCATAAAAATGTTTATCTGGGAAATAAGCAGAAAAAGAGGTGAGAACATCACATAGCACAGATAACACACGACAATTCAAATTATTCTCTGGTACTCATCTAAAGAAAGACCTACAGTGCTTTAGGTAGATGCTCTGTGGAAAATCAATCCATTAATAAGCATTTATTAAGCACCTACTATGTGCCAAGTACTGTGCTAAGAGCTGGAGAGTTCGTATGATAGCATAGACAAAAGTCATAAGATGAGAAGACAAACACAACTGGTTTGCCATCTGTATCACTGGGGGGGCTACTGAGGAAGAGGCCATGGCTCCACTGTAGTATGGAAGGAATAAATTAGGAGAAAGTGGAATGTTTTAGCATAGGCACCATAAGAGATAGAAAAAAAAATACACAATGGGCATCCGCCCTGTATGGCCCCCTTCCATTTCAGTGACTGTAATAGGGTAGAGGTAAAGGAGGCTGGAGTTTCAAGGAATATCATCTCAAGGGATATATGGCATAAGGATGGAAGTGTAGTTTATTTGCCAAAATCTATTCTAGAGTGTGAAGAAACAGAGACACCCTATGAAGGCCTTAACAAGACCCTCCAAACTCAACCTATAGTTAGCCCCACTCTCTGTCTCCTATTCAGTAATACCTACTACGTCAGCTCAACCTGATCTATTTAAACAAGACTGATCCTCAGTGATCTGAGAGTAAGTTGGTTTCCTTCACTTTGCATCAGATCGTATAAGCCTTCCCACACTCCTCTGTAGTCTTCATAATCATCATTTCTTACACGACAGTAGCAATCTATTCCATTCATGAGCCACAGTTTGATTAGCCATTTTCCAATCGATGAGAACCAAAATTGTTTCCAGTTCTTTTCTGTTATAAAATGTGATGCTAGTAATATTTTGTTGTAAATGTACCTTTCTATCTCTGACCTCCATGGGGGTGTGTATACATGATAAATATATATACACATACGTGTATATACACATGTATGTGAACGTACATATGTGTGTATGTACATGTACCTATTTGTTGTTAGTAGTTCATTTTCTTCTTTTTTTCATGAGGCGATTGGGGTTAAGTGACTTGCCTACAGTTGCACAGCTAGTAAGTGTTATGTGTCTGAGTTCAGATTTGAACTCAAGCCCTCCTGATTTCAGGGCTGGTGCTCTATCCACAGCACCACCTAGCTGCGCCAGAACTTAAAGCTTTTTAAAGCATATTAAATTTAACACCCTAGTATCAACATTGCCCTGATTGTCTGTGTCCTTATCTGGACTTCTTTCTATTCTCTGCTGTGTGTTTTCTAATATTTCATTGAGATTCCTTACTTTCTTTTCTTTTCCTTTCTTTTTTTTTGTGGTATCTCTATCATTCCTCATCTAAAATTTCTCCACCCAGGAAAAGCTCTCTTTTGTGCCAATTAAACATAATCAAGAAAAATAAATTTATGCATTTGCCATGTCTGAAAATGTGTCTTCTCATGGGCTTCTAGTCTATCAATCACCTCTCTGCTTAGCAGTCACATCTTTTTTTTTTTAGGCAATTGGGGTTAAGTGACTTGCCCAGGGTCACACAGCCATTATGTGTCAATTATTTGGTCTGAGTCGGATTTGAACTCAGGTCCTCCTGACTTCAGGGCCAGTGCTCTATCCACTGTGCCACCTCGCTGCCCCAGAAGTCGCTTCTGAATCAGCTGTTTGTGTTCAGTCAGATATTGAGTATTTGGAGAACAGGCCAAAACAAATACCAAATTAGTAGGGGGGAAAAAATGAGGGCTATGGCAGCTACAACCTCACTTGTTTAAAGAACTTGTCAGTAAAATCAATGATGCTATCAAGATTTCATAGGAAAGGTTAAACTATGCAAAATTGGAAGAAAGAAGCTAAAAGATCCCAGAAACTACCTCAGCCAGAAATCTCCTTGCCAGGTGAAGAAACTTGGTAGCCAAGTACATCAGTTAAGAGCATAAGCTCATTTTTAAATAGTGTGGATGAGAATGAAATAAGATTATAAGTATCATAAAACAGGAAGAAGTCGTTAAGGAGAAAATGAGTCTATAGAGGGCTTTTATTAGATTTGGCTAAGTCAGATAATGCCAAAGACATTTGTAGATGAAACCAGAAGACAACAAATAGATGAGAAATGGAACAGATCCACTGTTGCATCTGTAATTATCTCTTCTCATTAGTGGCGATAGGAGAACCATTCAGTCTGTATAACTTCAGTACCCAATATGAGGAAGTGACAATGTTGCTGAACAGATGAAACCAGAAAGTATTGCTGGACCTAGAGCCATACCTAGTATGGGGCAACAAGGGCTTTGCCCCAGGGCACCAACTTCTGAACAATATACACTTCTTTCTTTAGTGATTATGCCACAGAGACAGCCAATGGAGGACATTGGTAGGAAGCATACATATCCCTCTGGATATCAGGACTCTGGAGAGGACAGAGGAGGCACTATTCCCTCTGGTGATCCCACTCCCCAAGAATCTTGTTGCCATCATACTCTCTTCTGGGCCACCATATCCTCATCACACTACTCAATTAGGGTGTGCTATTTTAACACTTAGTGTTAAGTAACTATTCTGGGAACCCCTGACACATGGAATATCCAGTCACTGGCAGGATCGGTGGTCACTGTGGCATATGCCAGCCTCAAAATATCCTGGAATTTCTGTCCCCTTTGTTGTTCCAGGACTTGTAATTTCTACTTAGGGCTTAGGTAGATCTGACTCAAATGCTCTAGAAGGCAGTGTGACACTTTTTTTTTTACTTTAATAATATTTTATTTTCCCAATTACATGTAAAAACAATTTTTAACATTCATTTTTTAAAAATTTGAGTTCCAAATTCTCTCCCTCCCTCTATCCCTGAGACAGTAAGCAAGTTGATATAAGTTATACATGTGCAATCATGCAAAACATTTCCACATTAGTCATGTTGTGAAAGAAGACACAAACCAAAAAAAAAAAAGCACATAAAAAATAAAGTGAAAAATAGTATGCTTCAGTCTGAATTCTGACTCCATCAGTTCTTTCCCTGGAGGTGGATAACATTTTTCATCATAAGTCTTTCAGAATTGTCTCGGATCATTGTATTGCTGAGAAAAGCTAAATTATTCACAGTTGATCATCATACAATATTGCTGTTACCATGTACAATGTTCTCCTGATTCTACTCACTTTACTTTGCATTGTCGTATGTAAGTCTTTCCAGGTTTTTCTGAAACCCACCTGCTCATCATTTCTTATAATACAATAGTATTCCATCACAATCACAATCAATTCCGTCACAAACTTGTTCAGCCATTCCCCAATTGATGGGCATCCCCTCAATTTCCAATTCTTCGCCTCCACAAGAACAGCTAGTACAACACAATTTTAAAGGCATTCAGGATCAATATTTAAGAAAAAAATTTAAAGCAGCAACTTGCCTCAACACAAAGATTTTATTTTTTATTTATTATGTAGTAAGATTATTTCAAATAGGGTAAAGGTTTTTTTGGAATAGAAGAGATCACAGACAGTACTATTAAATTTTTAAAAATCAGCTGAGAAGATGATAGTAATTATCAACTCTCATGCCTACTTTTTTGTTTTATTTTTAATTTGGTTTTGGATTAATAATTTCTCTTTTCTTAGAAAATAAGTCAAAGTCATTTTTGTAACATGATTAATCTTGTGCTTCCCTGGGCCTGAGTCTTGGCCTCCAATGTCTTGGGAGACCCACTTAATGATAAGTCAAAAATAAAATCTTTGTGTTGAGATAAATCACTCCTTTTTGAAAGGGCAAAGAAAAGAGAGAGGAGGATCATTGGGGAAGGGAGATCACATAATGGTTTGGGGTTTGGGGGGCAGAACTCCTTAGTCATTATAGATCCTATTAATTTAACATGATTTTTAAAGCAGTAAAAGCAATTCTATGGGCAATATGTCAGGGGTCCCTGCTCCATTTCTAAATGATCTGTTTTCCCTGTCCCTCCACTATACTGTTTCTCAGTTATTTTGTGGATCAAGGTCTCTTCCTGTGAGCCTTGGTAGGCCTATGTTGTACAGGCTTTTTAGTAGAGCCAGATTTCTTCAAAGCCCAAGCCAGGGATCCACATGCTTCACTGACATTCCCCTCCAAAGTATTGGACTAACAATGCAGGGCAAGCTGGCAGCAGTCCCCGGGGGACTGATGAAATCATGCAGTATCTCCAGTAGCATCCATCAGCTCTACATTTCATCTGGCCTCACACTGGAATCTACTTCTCTAAAGAGAGAAGTGATTTCCTATAATTTCTTCTTAGTCAAAACTTGATTATTGGACTGAGCCATTTCCTCTCTCCTTGGGGGCCCTGGGATATTGACATTTTTAAATTGTTTTTATGCATTTTATTTTATGCATTTATTATTATCATCATCATCGTCATCATCAATTGCTATTGCCATGAGCTTTGGATGTGTGGTTCTACATGTGCAGGCTTTGGCTCATACAGGCATGTGTACACAGAATTGTTTCCTAGTGGATTCTGGTTTTATGGATGAGAAACTGAAGAGGCTAGATCAGGGCTGAACAGCTTTGGTTGGTTCATAATCTCCCCAAATTTTGCCGTCGGTTTATGGAGCGTATTGAGATCCTGTTTCTTTGTGGGATTGTGGAGCTAATATTGAGGCCAATAAAAGGATGTAGAATCTAATCTTTCTATAACTTGCAAGTTCTTTTCCAGGCCCAACTTTCTGCTTTCTCATTGTCTTACCATAGACTTGGGAAGGTTCAAAATGTCAAGGCTCATACAAAGAAACATGGAGTTTACAAGACAGTGAAGCAAGACAGTTTTATTGAGAGGAAAGACTCACAAAATGAAGGGCAGCTGGGTGGCAAAGCAGATAGAATGCCAGGCCTGCAGTTAGGAGGACCTGGGTTTAAATATGGCCTCAGGCACGTACTAGTTGTGTGACCCTGGGCAAGTCACTTAACCCTGTTTGCCTTATTTCCTCACCTGTAAAATTGTTATATAAGCTTTATAAC